TTTTTTCTTCTTTAATGTACTGGTTTCAAAAAAAGGGACTGTGGCAAGAAGGGAGGTGAAGGGGAATCCCCTGGCAGAGGGCCCATCCACAGAGCTCCCCTTTGTGGTTACTATGGAAACAGGCATAATAGGAACAAAACATAGTCATGTTGCTTGGCAACCTAGGAGCCTAAGGTTCATCACACACATACTCATGACTCTTTCATTTCAGGGAACCCCCCCAGGGCAGGAGCGTCATTCCTGGAAACTGGGTTATCCCAGTGATGAGTCCTAGAGCTCTTGTAGCTTTCATTGTGAATCTGGAGGACTGAGGTGTGGGGCACCTCTGAAGGGTGGTGCAGTGCCACCCCTACAGCTGACCTGAACCCAGGCCAGTGTTGACAGGAGTCTGAAACCTTGAAGAAATAGAATAAAACAGGTTTTTTTTACAATGTTAGGGCGAAGGGGATTCTTCTAAAGTGCATGTGTGTGTGTGTGTGTATGAGAGAGAGGCTTGCTCCTACATCTGGTGTTGGGTGTGGGATAGCAGAAAAAAGACAGGATAGAAAATACAGCTTTCCATTTTCTGAACAGGAAAATTGTGGCAAGGAACTGAGAAGACAAGGTAAAGCATTCTGAGCCATTCCTTCTGGGCTAAGTACCTGGAGGTCAGGGATTCCATCCTGCTGAGTTCATTATTACCTACTGACAAGTCCTTGGGCCCAGTGTTGGATGGACAATAATGTTTGTGCAACTGCAACAAAGATCTACAAGTAAAGGAATTGTTCCCTGGGGGCTGACATTCTGGAGAAGGTGTGAGAGAGAGACAAGACATTTGTATAAGGAGCAAGGGTTTTGGAGCCAGTTATCTAGAAAGCATTCAGTAAATTAACATGTCACTGAGATCTGGGGATCTATCTTAGTGACAGAGTGTTTGTCTAGCATGGATGAGACCCTGACTTTGATCCCGAGCATTACAATAAACAACTCTTGTCTCTGAGTGACTGCTGAATGTCTGGCAGCGCCTCCCACCCACCCACCCAGAGCACATGAAGAGGGAAAATCCCTTTAAGATGTGAGTGGGAATTTTAATTTTTCCTTTGCCAGCTGTGTGACTTTATAGGTAAATCAGTAACCCCCCTGAGACTATTTCCTTATCAAGTACCTCCTTCTCAGAGTATGTGAGGATTAAATGAGCTAATATGTGAAAATCTGCAGAATCACATACAGTGGGCATTATGGTGGGGATAAGGAGCTATGGCATGGGCTGGCGGTGGGCTAGAATTTTCACTTAAAACACTGAAAAAATTGTGTGTGATTCTTTGAGACAAAAGTCTCACTCTGTAACCTGTCAGAACTATATAATCTAGGCTGGCCTGGAACTCAGTGATCTTCCTGCCTCACCCTACTGAGCATTCAGATTTACAAACATGGAACCATTGTCACACCTGTCTGAAAACTTGAAAACAACCCCTTCCTCTGGGCTAATTAGGAAACTTCAAGTCTGGTTCCAATTGTAAGATCATGATCTTTAAGGATTTTAAGGATGGAGGTTATCCTTTCCCTCTTAGCCTAGAATGGGACAGGAGCCAGTTCCCAGAACTATGCCCTGACCAGGTAATCTTGGCATCCTTAACCCTGAATGAAGTGTCTGGACAGTGATCCCTGTACAGCAGCTCCAAAAGCCAGCCTTACCCTCCTGCCTTCTTCCCTGTTGACCAAGAGGGTGGCTAGAACAAATACTAGGCCAGATACAGTTGGCTCAGAGCCCAGGAAGCTCTCCCTCTTGGAGATGCAGTGTGCAGCAAAATTGAGGTGCCTGGTGCCCACAACCCTTCATTTTTTTTCTTTCTCTCCTGTGCCAGCCTCCTTCCTCCAACACTCCTGCCCAGAATGCACTTTGCAGATACCCATGTCTTTGGGCTTACATCACATCATAGCCAAATTCCTGAAAGCCTGGGGATAAATCAATTTCCATTTGAACATGCGTCAGGAAACTTGTTCTTACAAGGAATAAAATGAAGACCCCACACCCACAAGGTTTCTCTGTGTAGCCCTGGCTGTCCTAGACTCAGAATATCTGTAGACCAGGCTGCCCTCAAACTCAGAGATTCTTCTGCCTCTGCCTCCTGCATGCTGGTATTTATGGTGTGTGCTACTGTCACCCAAAATTAACTATCTGTTGGTAATTGATTAACTGGTGACTTTTGGGGGAAGAGTGTGGGTAGAGAAAAAGGGAGACATTTCCATTTTTTTTGAGGCAAGGTATTATGTAGTCCAGTAAGCCACAGGTGACCCTGACTCTTAGGGGTCTCGGTCAGACAGCCTCAGAGTGACAATTGCACTAGGCAGAAGTTTACTTTTTTTTTTTTTTTTTTTTTTTTTGTGGTTCTGCCTCTCTATAATGCTTAAATTTCAAGGACTGGGATGAAGCTCAATTGTATATTGTTCATTTCTCACGTAAGAGGCCTTGGGTTCGATTCCTAGTACTCACCCAAAAACATCTAACAAACACTCTTGACCATTATGGAGGTATTGATTTAATGTCAACAGGGATTACCTGGCTAGTAGGATTGCCGAGTACTTCATTTTATTCTTAGTCTATGTTTAAGAGGTGAAATAAATGCTATTTGTATGTAGATAGGGTCTTACTACACAGCCCAGGCCGGCCTCAAACTCAGTTTGCCAGTCATTACCTCTTGAGTGCTAAGATTGAGCTATTCCTGGCTCAATAAATGTATGAGTACACATCTAAAGTGAATGAGATAACATGTCTTGATGCGGTGAACACTTATAATCTCAGTGTTTGAGAGGCTAAGGCAGAATTGTTGTACATTTGAGGACAACCAAGCCTACGTTGTGAGTTCCAGAACAGCCTGGGCTACAATGTAAGACCCTGTTGCAGTAAGCCATGATTGAGGGCTAAGAGATGACTCACCCTGTGCAGGTGGCTGCCACCAAGCCTCATGACCTCTTCGATCTCAGTGGAAGGGGAGAACAGATTCCCACAAGTTGTCCCTTGACTGCCACATGATCCTGCACACTAAATAAAAGAAAGAAATGACTGGCTCTTGAGTTTTATTTTTTTTTATTTTTTTTTTTTTTTTGGTTTTTCGAGACAGGGTTTCTCTGTATAGCCCTGGCTGTCCTGGAACTCACTCTGTAGACCAGGCTGGTCTCGAACTCAGAAATCCGCCTGCCTCTGCCTCCCGAGTGCTGGGATTAAAGGCGTGCGCCACCACCGCCCGGCTGAGTTTTATTTTTTGAAATGTGTTTTGGCCTGATCCTCACTTTGTATCTCTGGGTGGCGGAACTCACTATGAGTTCACCCTAGTGACTACTGGGAAAGGAGTGGATTTTGGATGGGGGGGGGGTTGAGCCTGTTGACAGTGTGTTTGTGATGTTTAGTGGGTTTGAGGAGAGAGAGAGAGAGAGAGAGAGAGAGAGAGAGAGAGAGAGGGAGAGAGAGAGAGAGAGATATGAATGTTAGTAGCCAAGTCTCTGCTTTGCCTGTCCTTGCATGTCCTTGCCTGTCTGAATTTCTACCTACATTTCTCCACCCTGGTGTGTCCTTTATATCTGTGTCTGTTCTCTATCACTCTCTTCTGTTGTCTCCCTCCCCCCATCGCCTGTACCCTGTGTGGTAACTGGACCTGGACACAGCCCCCAGGGCTGGCAGTAGACTTGGCTGATATTTTTAGCCTGTAAACATGTTTGCCATTTCAGAGGACAGGGCAGGGCTGGTCTCAGCCCCAGCCCACTCATGATCTTGGAGCGAAGGTGCTCCTGCCTCAGGCCAATGTCTCAGTTCTCCAGCTTGAGTTCTCTTGGGGCATTTGGAAAGGAAGAGAAACTGGAGTGGGCAGTTGGGTAGCCATCTGCCAGAGAGGGTAGAACTCATAGAGAAGAAGAAAAAAGGAGGTGTGGAGGGGGGAGGTAGCCAGAAGATCGCTGTAACCCCATCATTAAGCATTTAATAAAATCCACAAATAGTTAGACGTGGCTGTGGGAAATGGCTGTAAATTGGGGAGCCCAGCAACTTGCAAATGGAAATATGAGGGAGGAGCTGTGAGGGGGTAGAAGGACGGGGGGGCAAAGAAAAAGCTGGACCTTGGGTTCCTCAAGCCTACTGGGGCATAGTGGTTCATGCCTTTAATTCCAGGCAGGCCGAGGCAGGCGAATCTGTAGGGTTATCAGGTTCTAACCAGTTCTAGGACAGCCGGGGTTACACAGTCGGTGCTCCCTTCCCGAAATAAAACACCCAAAAGGCATAGGGGACAGGGTTTACGGAAGAGGGTGAGCTGTTAGTTCCGTGGCTCATCTAATGGCTGCAGGCCTGGCTGGTCGCTGCAATGATGAACAGGACCGTGGTGTGGTGCGTAGGTGACTCCGTTCCTAGGGGTCGGATTTAAGTCTTAATTAAGAGTCAGTGTGTTCTGTAGATAGAGAAGAGAGAAAGCCTGAAGCCGAGAAATGGGCGAGGCTGCAAGAAGCTTGGGAACTGCGAGAGGAGGCTGGGGCCTGGGACTAATGTATCTGAACTTGAGAGAAAGCTCAAAGGTCTGTGTGGAGGTTGGAGGTCGAGGTTGAATCATCTGAGTTTCTTGGCTCTTCTGGAGAATAGGTTGATGCTGGATTCCAGCTGTGAGGGTGAGCCTCTATCCTTGCGTGCTTCCAGGAATTTCTTGCTGGTGAAGACATGTACACTGTTTAAAATGAGGTGGGAAGATCCAGACTCAGGACAAGAGCAATAAATGGGATAAGGAAGGGGAAAAGGCGACGCCTCCTAGTCCCTGAGGCCCCTCAACGTTGTCCCTGAGCCCCCTCAACGTTCTCCTTTCACTAGCCCATTCCAGGGTGGCTTCAGTGTTAGTCTCGCTCTCGGGTCCCAGCCCTATTCGGGCCCCGCCCGGCCCCGCCCTCTCCCCACAGCTCGGGGCAGACCCGCCCGAGTTACAAGAGCCGCCTCCGCGCGCGGGGGCCCGGCCACTTGGAGCAGCTCTGCCGCGGGGACTGCACTGTCCGCCCTGCCAGACCCGCCCCGACTGGGGCTCGCCGTCGCCAGCAGTCACAGCACTGCGACCTCGGGCCCTTCGCCGGCTATGGCTGCGTCCTGGGGCTGAGCCCACAGGTAGGGAAGTGAAGCGCTGGGAGGTGAGGTGTGGGGCTCGGGTACGGGCGACCAGGGGAGGGAGGGACTCGGACGAGGTATATTTGCGGTAGTGTCATTACGAGGGTTCCAACAGTTTGGAGCAAACCTGGCCGCCTGCGGCCGCCGGGACAGGCGACGCGTCACGTTTCGGGAGTAAAGCTTTCTCCGGAGTTTGGGCCAAGTTTAACTAAGTTAGAAAATCGCTTCTAAGTGTGCTTTGCTGCGCCTTAGTTTTTTCACCAGGGTGAATTGTCGTCCCAACTGCACTATAGGGCGTTCCAGGTCTGGTGGTCCCTGACCCACCCCCCTCTCTTTGGGCGGTGTCTCAGAGCACTACTGGGTTCCTATTCCATGTTTACTGGAGAAGTTTTCCAAGATCCCAATCGCCCCTCCTGCGCCCCTGCACCACGTGCCCCTTCTGCTGTCCTTTGCGGCTCCCCACACCTCCATCTCTCCGGAGTCCCCTCGGCCCCACCCTGCTCTGTACCACCAGCCTCTCCCTTTCTGGCTCTTAGCGGCGACTTCAACAGCTCCCCTTCAGCTGCCCCGCCCTAGTCTTGCCCCTCCGTGTTCCCAGATCCAGAAAATTCCCTTCTTTCTCCAGGGCGTCGGAGCCTGGAAGTTTGCAGCGTGCCTCCCTGTGGGATGGGTGGGAGAGGGGGGTGGGGGACATAATTAGGGAGATTCCTGTGCTGGGGTGGGCGCGGGGGGGGGGGCTGTGCAATCGACACAGTCCCGAGAACCTCCCTTGCTCCTTCTAGGGGCGGTACTTTCTTCCTACCCCACCCCACTCCCAAACTCGTCCGGGCGGGATGGCCCCCGCCCCAGCGCCTGGCTGGATTCCAGCAGCCTGAGGAATGTAGTGGTTGGAGCCGGTGACTAATTCAAACCAGAATTCGGGGGTGGGGGGATGAGGGGCAAAGGGGAGGGGGAAGGGGCCGTGTGTAGGCGGTGGGGGCCGGAGCACTGGGCGTAGGTGAAGAAATTCACTGCTCTCTTTGGAACTCTCCACTTTTGCAGTGCACGCCAGCGGAGAGGGCGGGGGGCAAGATCCTACTGAGGGGTTGGAAAGGCTTGCACGCTTAGGGTGTGTGCAGAGAGCTGTTATGTAAGGCTTTCCCATGCAGGGAGGGGATGTGCAGTGTGTGGGAGCCTGGGCCTCCTCTGGCCGGAGCCCCTTGCAGTGCCAGGGCGGGTTTGAGGGGAGCAGAACCTTGGTGGCACTGGGTTGGCAGCAGGGCTAGCTGTACGTGGGGATGAGCACTAGAAGACTCTTAGGGGGGACCCGGGGATATCCTTCAAGTAAAATGGAGCCCTGACAACGTAGTGTCCCTGGTGTGTGTGTGTGTGTGTGTGTGTGTGTATGTGGTGTGCTTGCCTGCACATTCTGTCACTTCTGCACAGTGTGACCACAGAAGATTGTGTGCATGATGTCTGGGTTGGCACCCTGGTTTGGCAGGGTGTGGCCCTAGGCTGTCTCTGAGGACACGCGGTGTTTCGGGGTACTTGTATTATTCTCAGTGTCCCTGTTCTGTGGAGGGGATTTGTAGAAAAGCTTCCGGGGATAGTTGGGGGTCCTTGGGGAGTGACTTGGAATTCCCAGGAGAAGAAGGACCCAGAGGTCTACTTCTGTTACCAGAACACCTCTGGACTCCCTACAAATGGTTTTGAAACAGTTTGCCCTTAAACTTTAGCAATGTCAGGGACCACCTTACTGCACCCCTCTCCTAACAGCAACCTAACATATAATAGATGTTGGGATGAGTTCACAAGATCCAATGATTCAGCTGGCTGCTGTCCTCAGAGGTGACTAGGAGAGTGGAGGGCACACAGGAAGATGCTGTGGGCATTGTTTAGGGTCTCTACCCACACTGAGAATAGTTTAGGTGAGTAGAACTGTTTTGGTCCTGTCCTATTAGAGAAGTCCCTGGGGTAGGGTGGGTCTCTTTTCCTCTTCCCAAGCTGAATGAACCAGTAGCTTCCTTTTCTTAACTTGAAAAACTACGGGGTGATGGGGGGTGGGGGGGTGTTGCAGGTCTGTATCTGGTCTGTAGAGTGTGCAGATTGTGCAGTAGAAGGAAACCCCTCATTTAAGGGACACTTCCTTGGTTTGAGCTGAGCTATAGGGCAAGGAAAGTGTGGGAAAGGAACTGGGAACATGGGAGCTGAGCTAGTAAAAGCCTCAGGGGCCTGGGTGCTGATAGGGATGACATCTGGAAGATGTCTAAACTCCTTTCTAAAGCTCTTGCCCCTAAGACATTATGCACAGGGACATTTTGAAGAGAACCAGGACATTCAGAGAGACAGGCATGTGAGTCATCCAAAGCTTGGTGCTAATGGCATGGAGGTCAGCAGCGATACAGAGGGTCTGGGCCTAGCACTCCACAGCTCCAAGTCCAGGAAAGGACAAGAGAGACAGTGGACCAGGGACTCCGTGGAAGAAGAAGAAAAGTAGCGTTAGTTAAGGACAGGGAATGAGCTATGGGGCCCCAGCTCACTTCAGGCCTAGAGAGGCTCTACTTAGAGGTTCAGAGCCTACTAGGCCTCATGCTCCACTACCAGACTCTTATGCTCCACTTGGAACTGTCTGTAGGGTTCTGGCAGAGCACACCACTCTGAGCCTGAGGAGCTGGTTTGAGGGGTTGGAGTAAAGCTGTGGGGGTGGAGGAGTGTGTTGGGCACTGGGGTGTGGTCACTACCTTTTTCAGAACTTGGGAACTGCCTGGAGACAGACAAGAGAGACAAACTGGGAGAGCTAGTCTGACTTCTGAAGAAATCTTTGCCTGGACGCCCCCAAGTTTCTCTCCTTGGAGCTGGGTTGACCACGTGCTTATATTCACTTAGGTTAGAGGAAGGGAGGCGGTTGCCAATTTAGAATGTGCAATACACCTGGGCCCCTTCAGGCTTCAGCTAGGCTCCTAGGAACTTGCAGTTCCTTGATTTGACCACTGGATCATCTGCCTGGCTTCCAAAGCCTTCTTGATCATCCATGTCTGAGTGTGTCCAAAAAGTGTTGGAATGGGGGGATGGTATCACAGAATGTTTCTTCGGAAATGTCTGTGTACTTTGATGAAGCTCCCCCTTTCTCTCTCCTAGCCCCAGTTTCTGCTGGGGCTAAAGCTCAAATAATTGGTTTTGGGTCTGTCACTGTTACAGTTACAGGAGTCGTTATTCACTTTCAGTGAAGTTTGTGTTATTGCTTGTGAGAGGATGTCCTGTTGGCTATTCATGGGGCTCTCACACTGTGGTAAACCTGTCTCCTCTTTTAGCCTTCTGGGACTTGGAGGGCAGAGGCAATGACTGACTACTGTAGGGTGTCAATGTACAGAGACTGCAGTTATGAGCTGAAGTGAGCTCCTTTGTCCTGTACAGGTCCAGGCCTTGAAGTTTGTGTCTAGGGGCCCTCAAGGAGGATAGGGCAGTCTTGGGAGTATAGTCCCCACAGATGGAGGTTGAGCTGGGCAAAGCATTGCATACGGCCTGTCAGGGAGCGGCATCCTGCCTGGTCCCTGGGGCCTGGAGCGGAGGTTCTGGGGGAAGGGGAAGTGCCTGGAGCTGATCCTGGCTACGTGTCCTGGCTAGGCTGGGGGTGGGAGGGAGCATTGCAGCCACTGTTTGAAGACCTGGCTCTGAATCTTTTTGCTACATGACTTGACCACTGGAGGGCGAACATGCAGCACTTACTAGGGAGCTGGGTGGGGCACAGGGTATAGTCTAAACTGTAATCTAACCCACAAGGTAACAACATACTTCTCCCTCAGGTTCCCTAACCATAGGACATTGCCCTCAAAATTGGTGTCTTAATCCCAGAAGTCCTGTCTAAGGCCATTTTTTCCCTGGTGGTGTGCCCTGATGGGGAAGTTCCCACTGGGTAATACAATGCTGTCTTCAGTCTCTATCACTAGAAGAGGTGGAGAGCCCCTTAGCTAGAGGAGGGAGAGGGACTCTCCCTTCTTGCTGGAAGTGAGAATTTAGAGCTTTGGGGCTTGTGACTTGTTTTAAAGAGTTGTGTGTGTGTGGGGGGAAATGTGTGTGGCCAGAGTAAAGAGGAGAGGTGGAAGCCAAAAGCAGTTATGGGTCTGGTTATGGCTATCAGTGAGCAAGAAAACCATCATGGTGGGGAGGGGCTGCTGGGGAAGGGGATGCTAAAGGAGGCTGGTAAAACTTCCTTCTGGTAGTTATGGTAGCATGGTTGACCCTCAAAGGTAGGTACAGACATAGAGGAAGGTGCACATCCAGGGATCTGAGTACCAGGTGGACAGGTGGCAGATTTTTGCTGCGAGCCATAAAGCTTTCCTAAGCCAGAAAAGGTGGGAGATGGGGCTGACAAGAGTCTCTGTGAGCTTCTGCATGTGTTTAATGTATGTGTGTCTTTCCCTGAATATTCCTCCAATATCCAAGACATCTGGGTCTTGTTGGTTTAGTTCTCTTTGCTTGTTCCCTCCTGTAAGTGGAAAGGGCCCCATTTTGCGACTACTTAAGTATCCACATTGGCCTAAAACTTTAGATATCCTTGTCTCCGCCTCCTGAGGATTCTTGGTGGCAAGAGTCACAAGGTTCACTCCTGTAAAGTTTTTTGTTTGTTTTTGACAGGACCTTATGTAGTCAAGGCTATCCTTGAATTCATTATATAGCCTAGGATGGGCTAGAACGTGCAGTGATCCTCCTGGCTCAGCTTCTTAAGTGTTTGTATTACAAGTGTGCACCATTATGCCCATCTGTGCTAAATGTTTGTAATTTTTCTTGTTTTGTTATAAATGTGGTTTTTTTGTGTACGCATGTGTGTGCGTCTTCATACTTTGCCACATGTTAAATGTTTGAGGACAACTTGCAGGTGTCAGTTCCCTTCTACCATGGGGGTTCTGTTGAGCCAACTCAGGTTGAGTGCTAGAAAGAAAAGCATCTCTTGTCTTCCATGTATTAGCCCAAGAGAAATCCAGAACTAAGTTCTGGAGTGTTCAGGCTTTTGAAAAGCTTGA